GTCTGGTACTCTTCCCAGCATCATTTACAGACCCCCACTCTTGGTCTCTATTTCTTCTCCTGATGAAATACTGTGACTCAACTGTTAGATATTATTAATTAATGGATTTTTTTTTTTTTAGACAGTCTTATTGGCACAGTTTGACTCCCAACTTGCTAGACAGCCCAAGGATGACCTGAATTCCTGATCCTTCTGCCTCCCCCAAAGAGCTGGGCTATAGGCATGGACCACCACACTGGGTTTAGGATTGCTGAATTCCTGAGACTTCCACAGGCAGTTAACATTTTTCCAACACAATGTTTCAATTCTCAGACATTACCAGGTAATCTACTTCTGATCTTTTAAACGAATGTCTAAGTTTTAAATTATTCCCATAAAAACATCATAAAAATTACTTTAAAAATCATCCGTGAGGGACCAGTGAGATGGCTCAGTGGGTGATGGGCGGAAGGGCTGGCTTCACAAAGCTGACCTCTGACCTCCACTTGTGCACCATGGCGAGTGAAAGGGGTCCTCTGGAACAGTAGCAAGTGCTCTTAACCACAAGCCATCTGTCAGTCCTACTAAAAATTAAACCATGGACGAGTAAAGGCTAATTTAACATTGATTCCTCATGCTAACCACAGTGATCTTGGATACTACAGTTTCCTCATTTTAAATATTCTTTAAAAAGCCAATTGAAGTATAGTCCTGTTTTATTCATCTTTACAAATTTTTATTTTATGTATGTGGAGGTTTTGCTCGCTTGTATGTCTGTGCACCACCAATGTGTCTAGTGCCCTTGGAGGCCAAAAGAGGGCCCTGGAACACCACTGCAACTGGAGTTGGTTATTAGCAGCCATGGGGGCACTGGGAATTGAACCTGTGTTCTCCAGAAGAACAGCCAGAGCTTTTAACCTGAGCCATCTCTCCAGCACCCTAAAGTTTTATTCTTACCAGCTTAACTTGGATTTAAAAAAAACTCAAGTTGTTCATGAACAGATAACTGGATAAAAAGAGTTAGATTATGCAAAACTTGCAATGTAGCTCAACTATTTGATTAAAAAAAAAGGAGGAGGAGTAAGAAGGAAGAGGGAGAAAGGGGAAGAGGGGGAGGGGGAGGGAGGAGGAAAAGAACTGAGCTTGATCCCTGGGACCCACGCGATAGAAGGACAGAACTAACTCTTGAAGGTTCTGGTGGCCTGGTGCCCCGCCCCCCACACACACACAATAAATAATGTACAAAAATCAACTGAAGCTAGCAGAGAGATAACAAAATATTTGTTTTATTACTGTAAAGTTAAAAATAGTAGACAAGCTTATCTAGTTTACAGTTTCAAAGCAGAATACAAATATATAAATTATTGCATATAACAACCCAGATAATGACTAAATAAACTTTTTTGGAAACAAACTTAAGTTTTTAACCACAGCAGTTTCATTTTCACTTTCTAAATGTCAGCACAATTGTTTAAAAGAAACTTCTAACAGCAGAGATTAAAGTTCAATATGCTAGTCTGGTTTAAAGCATCTCTCTGTCACACACACACACACACACACACACACACACACACACACACACACACACACACACCCCACTACTGAACACTTTAAACCACCCCTCCTGGAGGCAGTAGGCCAGGGAAAAGAAAAACAACGAAACACCAGACTAAACCCACCACCCTCCCGAAGCAAGCGCAGCTGGAGTAGCGTTGAACAAGTGCATCTCCACGACATTTTTGCTTCACGTTGGTACACTTGAAATTAGGGCAAAATTACTAAGTAATTGTAACAGAGACGCCTTCAAACTAAAAAGAATAGTGAAAATATGACTTATGAACTAGGCGTTAAAAATCTTAACGTTCCAGACCCACGTGATCCGGTTCACATCAAGGCAGATGTAGCCTGAGGCTGTTCAGGTGAGGGCTGATGTAGGTGGAAGAAAAGAAATGCAAGGCCAAGGCACATTCTTCTCAGCCCCGTGTGACCCCCACTTCCCCACAGAGCCCTACTACTCCAGCCGATAAACCCTTTTTACCCATCACCACAAAGCTGAACTTGGCAAGGGTATTTATTTATTTGTTTGTTTGTTTATTTATTTTTTAGCAAATTTCCTCAAAAAAATTGTTCAAGGTAAAAATGGAATCAGACCAAAATCAAAACAAATCTCTGCTTTAAAGTCTTATCTTAATAGACAGTATATAAAATTTTTATACTTATGAAGTTTTAAAATATTCACACATCTTGCTTTAGCATGAACAATAGTAACATTTGTCAGTAAATGAACTGGCAAGAAAGTTAAAAAAAAAATAAAAGCATCAATATACTCTACCATTAAAGTATCTCATGTACATGTAATTACTTTTCATGGTCACAAATCTAAACCCTCCAAAAAGCTACATAGATCTTTAAAATGCCTGCTTAAGTTTGGAACGCACACGTTGTATGTGCTACATACAATGTTAACAAGGAACACGATTTCTCTTGAAAAGAAACAAAATAAAACCCAAACTGGTAAACATCAATACAAATGAATCAAATTAATTACTTTAAAAATGAACCAAAAAACCCCTAACAGGCCTCAGCAGTATAAACACCAAGATAAATGTATTATATAAACAAACTAGAAAGGTAAAAGCCATTTTCAACAGCAGATCAGATACAACACAAAACCAAGGAATCATAAACTACCTACCAAATGGTAACAGAATATACTTCAACTGTGTTTCTGAAATCACTTGCCAACATGAACACATTTTGAAAAATAATCCTTACATGTTTCTAAAAATGGGCACTTTATGGTGAAATGAACATGTAGCTTAGAAACCTAAGGACTTCTCTTTACTCCAATACTGCATACAAGAATCACACAATAAAACGAATCGACTGTTGGGCTCACGGGCATTGTGTCGCAAGTGAATGCCTTTTCCAAATAGCTAATTTAGAAACTTATACTAGAATCAAAGGATAAGACAGTAATCTCAAGAGAAACGTTACAAGGTGGGACAATACAAAAAATTTAAGCCAGGCATGGCAGTGTGTGTTGAACCCCAGCATTCAGTAAGATCGATGCTAAGTTTGAGGCCAGCCTGAGCAACATAATAAAACCCAAACCAAACCCTGTGTATATTTACCAGGGCCTGATGTATGCCAGGCACATAAGAACACCAATCTTTAAAGACAAAAATGATGCTAAAATCACGTTTGACTTCTGATTTTAAAACTCTTCATCTTGTTTAGCTATGAAATCGAGTATGACAACATTTTCCTTCATGCCTCACACTCACAGAAACTCGGAAATGGAAGGGCTCACTAACCGTCTGTCTTCTGTTATTTTTAAAAAGTGAACTCATGAGGGAGAGTTTCTTCTGAACTTTCTCAAAACATACAGACGATTTAGAAAGAAGCAAATACGGGAACCAGTGTTTGTGATAGTTCCTATTTCCCTAAACTGTAATTCAACCCTGACTCCATCTTATTTGTACACATACAATAATTGCATATTCAATCAGGAGAGCAGGTGAAGCTAGGTATAGGTGTAGGATACACACCTCAATCACAGCGCTGTATCTCCTCCTGAGGCAGAACTGTCACAAAGTTCAGGTCAGCCTGGCCTAGAGAATTGTAGGCCAGCCAGAGCTATATAGCAAGACCCCGTCTCAAAACAAACAAACAAACAAACAAACAAACAAACAACCACCACCACCAACAAAACCAACTACAACAAATAACTGGTGGGTCAACTCTATGAAATACTGTACGCCAACACAATTCGTGTGAATGAGCACCAGATAGAGACGTAGGAGCACCATTCCTTTGACGTTTCAGGTGAAATATCTAAATGAAATGAATGGGAGGTCCCAGTTAAGACCTTAGTATTCGGGAAAATCCCAGTCAGTCCAAACGCATTAGTAAACTAAATGTTTGCCAGGAAATTCTTTAAAGAGATCAGCAAACGTTTTCTTTGGATAACACTGGTATTTAGGACTGCACCATATGTCTTCTATTATAGAAATACACTAAGTACTGCACATACCAAATATGAAGTACCCTAGACTCCTATGGCTGCCCTGACTGCCTTTACATCATCAAGAAAGAAGCCCAAATGTGTGCAATACCCTGGCTGCTAACATTCTTAATGAGTTATGCCAAGCAGGAGTACAGTCAAACTTGAAAATGTAACCATAACAACGAAGCACTAAAATACTTACTGGCATAATCAGGACATGTCTCTACCCAGCTTGTAAATGTGGATACTTCCATATTGCACACATTCAATTTAAAGCTTATCAAAACTAAGGCAATGCATTCATCTCCACTCTTCAGATTTGAAATTCATTTTGGATGATTCAAAAAACTGAAACTAAAAAGTATTGTTTTCAAAAATTCCCTCCAAAAAGCCCCAAGGTTCAGTTTAGTAAGGAAAGAGCAAAAACAATGGCTATCACAACCCATGCACAAACCCAGGCCAACTGAACACATCTTAGCATTAGGGAAAGGTGCTTTTCCTACAGGGAAGCATTTCTTTGCTTAGTCAAATACTATTTGTGTTCAACATTAAAGTCTGACCCTTGCCCAGATAGAGTGCCAAGGTCAAGGCAGAAATCATCTCCAGGCATGTAGCTGCCAAGCCAATGGGCTGTCTTTCCTTAGACCTACCACACAAATACACTCTAAGCATCAGTTAAAACCAATCTAGAGCCCATCTTAATTTGGATTGATCATAACCTTTATTATGTCATTAAATCTTATCTAGCTTCTTGAGGTAATTTATTAGTTAAGAATCTAGAACTTAAGTAGCTTATAATAACTTTTTAAAAATGGGCTTATTTTATTGAATTGTTGATTTTTTTTTTTTTTTTTTTTTTTTTTTTTTTTGGTCCTGGTAATCTTTTTCTTTTCTTTTTCTCTTTTTTTTTTTTTTTTTGAGGACTAATTTCAGTACACTGGACTCAGGGCTGAGAGCTGATTTACTTTACCCAAAACCTAACACAGCAAAGAAAGACAGGAGAGTTAAGAAGTCGAGTGGGGCATCTACTTTTATGGAGACTGACACACAAGATCCAGAATAGTATTTTCTTCCTAAGCTAACTCACAATTGCTTTCATTAGAAAACAATAATGTGCTTTATTTCCTTGGATATTTGCTTTAAAGAGTGATTAATTTCACTTTCAAATGCTGTTAGTATTTAAGATAGCTCAACTTGGCAGACTGCTTCTCCAAATACTATCCAAAACACATTTATCTTTGGAAAGAAAGGTAACAGTTATAAAAACACTGTATCCCCCAAATGCAGTGATCTTCATATGGGTGAACATATTCACACATGGAAGTGCAAATACACATGGCCATTCAAATACACATTTATAAAGACAATGAAAAATACCCAAAATAGCAATTTTATATATAAAATTTTATATTAAAATATTGCTCATAAATAAGGTGATATTATGAATTCTACTTCCCTCTTAAAAATTATCTCTAGCAGTTTAGACTAACGTAAGACCTTATTAGGCTTCTATTGTTTTGACAGCTGAGTTACAATAGAAAATGTCCAATAAAAACACACTGTAACAGTATATTTAAGTAGTCACACATGGTAAAAGTTAGGGAGGGGCATTGAGTAATTATAAGAAAAAGTCCCCAAATGAAGCCAAATGATTAACCCTAGACTAGAGTGATCCGCTTTATTAGGTAAAGATAATAAGTATTATCTTATGTTTTGCAAGTACAACAACCATAAAAATGGACCGTAACTTTCTTCAAACATTTTCTAGGTACACATGCTTGGCAGACCAGCAGGGTGAAGCACAGGAACTACGTTCAGTTCAGTTGTTTATGGGCAGGTGTGACCTCGTTCCTGCCCGGCCAACTTGCAGGCATGGTAACTTGGAGTAGTTCTTGAGAAGCTGCTCGATGGCAACATGGCGGACATGGAGCTCTGATGCCAGAGAGTCTTTTTCTTGCACTTGGTGAGTTAACTCTTCAAAAACTCCTGTGAGGATTTCAAAGGCAGTTTCAGTGTTAGGGAAAAGGGAGCTAACCCTGAGACTTCTGTTTGAAGTAACAGAGGTACCATGCATTGGGTAAATCTCAGGATTTACAGGAAATTCATTTGATACCAAGGAAAACAGCTGTTTTCTCTGCAGCCTATCAGTGGGGATCATTCTATGGTATTTCGTGTAGACAACTGAGATGCTGTCTCCTCTCCATCAAGTGCAACTTAAGAAAGACTACAGTATACAACACAGAAACAGTGGCCACCATTTGAGCCTCTTATCCATTTTAACCTACAAGTAGGTTCAATCAATATATAATGACTTGTCAGAGAAATGCTCATTAATATCCAAGTCCAGAAACTCCTCCAAGAGGCTTGGAACAGATTCCCTGGATTTTCAAAATCCTGGCTCCTATGATCATGTATGTATGTGCTCCAGGTAAGTCATCTAAACTTCTCCTTGAATATCCTTTTATGGATAAATTCAATACTAATGGCCAGCAGCTCACAGGGACACTGTGAGAGATAAATGACATCCTACGTGTAAAGAACGCAAGTAAGTACTTAACCAATGTCAACTGGGATTACCCGTGTTAGTTTATTGTTTTCAGGTTTTGCAATTAAGTCTGCTGCTGACCGAATGCATCATATCTGTAAGCAACTTAGAGGTCTCCAACATGCAGCTAACTGCCTCACCTTAGTGGGAAGAGCTGGAGCAAGAGACAGTGGGGATGGGAATACTGTAGGTGCTGATGTCTGTGACGATGCTACAGAATCAATTCTGTGGTTTCTTTTGAAGACCCGATAGTGAGGGTATGACTGAGTTTTATTTTTATTTTTAATAAAACCCTGATGTATTTATGAACAAAACAATACATTGTTAGGGTTCTCAAAATATTCCATGCCGGTGGCTAACGTGGGACGAGAGGAATGGAAACAGGTGGTAAGGAAAACACAGCCATGTTTTAGTAACAGTTGATGCTGATAACGACAGGCAGTGGTCACTATACTTACTTCACTATTTTTATGTGTTGTTTCAAATGGTTCATAGTTTATAGAGATAACCAGGGATATTACGACTGCCTTCAGGAACTACCAGGATGCATAGCCCAGGGTACCTGTCATGGTGAGTGGTTCACAGTGAAGTCAAGGATGGCAAGAGGCAGAAGTTAGCTGCAGTCTCCCTTCTACTTAGATTATTTTTCCTGACGGTCCCAACGAAACTTTCCCTTACTGTTTGCCTCAGAATCCTCAACAGGTCTATCTTAATTTTCTAAATTTAAATAATGTGAAAGCTAACAATGTCCAATCCCTGGGGATATTTTGTAGTAACATTTTCACACACAACAAAAAGCACTGAGGGCGATTCTTTACCCTGGATTTGCTGTTGGAGCCTTGTGTTCAGTTCTTCTACTTCCTCAAGAGTCATTGAATTCACTGAAACATGAAATACATTCATTGTTACCACAGACAACCTCGGAAAGTGAGTTTCTGTCAGTGTCTTCGGCAAAGAATGTGCAGCTCATTCCCAATACAACTTCCAACAGAACCCCAGGTCTCCATCATCGGTTCTTAAAGTGTAGCACATTCTAACCACAAAACCCTTAAGGAACATGTTTTCTATGTCACTACCTCCATCATCCACAGGAAACAAGAGTTTGAAAAGGAAGGGAACGTCATCAGACTGTTGGATTCTGCTATCTTCTCTTTCAGTTTTCAGAAGTACTAGTCTCTGCCTGTTCACACTGACTCTGATTAAGCTCTGGATAAGTCACGACCTGGGGTTTTAAAACACTACTTTAAAGTACTGTGAAATGTCTATCTAGTAAAACAACCTTTACATGAAGAATTAAGAACTTGTCTAAAGACATAGTCAAGGTCTCTTTGGAGCTAAAATAATTCAAGCCAATTAAAATCACCCCAGTGAGATTTTATGGAAATGGTGCAGGCCAAAGAAGTCATTTAAAATTTTAAAATAAATGCCCACATTAACTTCTACCCTTTAGTACACTGTCAGATGTTTAAGTTGGGCTCCTGGCCAACTAGTCTATTAAGGGTTAGCAACATGGCAATGTATACTGGCCAATCGCTCTAGTTACATAAACAGTGGGAACCCTGAACTTCCAATTCAGTCTGCTGATTCCATTCCATTTGGTCACTAAAAATGGCTGAAGAAATAATGGTGCCAATGAAAGTCAGTATAGAACACATACTCAAGAGCATTCCAGAGAAGTTTTTAAGACATCTCACATTCACTGAGGTGCCATCTGTCACTTAAATATTATGTTCACCAAATCTATAATTCTACACACACACACACAGAAAATCAAACCAACCAAAACCAACTACCCCCAGCCCCCCAACACGAACAAACCACACAGTCTCCGCTCCGCCCTTCTTCCTCCCACACTGCTTACGCTGCTCTCTGCTGTAATGAGGATTCTGGGGCGGGACAGCTGCCTCTGGACCGGAGCTCATCTCTTCTTTCTTCTGCGCCTGGTTGTGTTTGTGAGGCCACAGTGCATCGGAGCCTTGCAATAGAGCAAGCCCATAGTCTGTATTTTCCCCCTGCTCCAAAATCCTTTGTGTGTAGCTCGAGATGGCACCCGTGTTCCCAGCGATCCCTTGGGCAGAGTACTTTGGCACCTGAGAGTCAAACTGTGGGAGCAATTTCTTATCTGGCTTATGCCTGAAATTAAACAGGTGATGTTGGGTATTTTTGGAACACTCGGGATCCAAGTCCATATCCTTATTTTGTGCATACTGTACAATCCAGTTTATCTTCTTACTCAGAATGGTTTTAACGCCTTCATAGGTACTTTTGGAAAGCTTGGATCGAGAACAATCCTGGTTTGCAATTAAATGATATTTTTCAAAGCAGTCTTTATGGCCTCTCAGTGATTTGGTGTGTAAAAGACTAGATTTTCGTACTCCTAAAATGAAAAGAAGACAGAATGAAAACTCAAAAAATATTCAGATTTTCTTAATAAAACATTACTTTAAACACAAATGAATCTTAGTGAATTCTTGATAGAACTCATCTGCAAATTAGAGAAAAATGTTAAATATTGACACCGATAATACGAAATGTAGCCTAATCTGTGTTTCCATTTAGCTTTCTATTCAAAATGTTTTTATTCATTTACAGTATGTGTGCACTTAGATGTGTATGTGTGCATTTACATGTATATGTGTGTTCACACAGGCTGATGTATGTGTGGAGGCCCAAGGTCAACAAAGTGTGTCTCTCCTGGCCTGCTCTCCACCTTTATTTCTTGAGACAGAGTCCTTACTGAACTTGAAACTCAGTGACTTAGTTAGGTGGTCTGGTCAATGAGCCCCCCTAGACACCGCTCTGCCTATCCTGGCCTGCATTCTAGGGATCAGAGTCAGGGCCCATGCTAACACAGCAGGGGCTTTACTTTACTGAGCCATAGCTCCAGCTCAACAATATATATATATATATATATATATATATATATATATATATATATATATATATTTTTCCGTTTTTTTTTTTTTTTTTTTTTTTTGAGACAGGGTTTCTCTGTGTAGTTTTGGTGCCTGTCCTGGATCTCACTCTGTAGACCAGGCTGGCCTTGAACTCACAGAGATCCACCTGGCTCTGCCTCCCGAGTGCAGGGATTAAAGGTGTGAGCCACCACCGCCTGGCTCAACAGTAATATTTTTATGCCTAGCAAAGACTTTCGAAAACTTTAATGATTCGGTTTGAGTCTCGGTCCAGTGGCATATTAGTGGATACAATCTAAAAGCACACACTATTGTTCCCAGCAATCACTAGTCTTCATAAAGTACATACATAAAGCACACACTGAGCTCTGGCCTCGGTAAATAAAGTAGAGAGTGATCCCTGAAGATACCCAGCATCAACCTCAGGATTCCACTTGATGCACACATGAATCTGCATTCATGTGTACCCTCACAAAAGAACACAATTACATACACTACAAACACGTGTACCCCAGAAAGCTTTTTCCCCCCAACAACATATGTTAATCATATTAAGAAAATTGTTTTGAAAAAGTCTATTATCAAACCTATTCTCATGCCTTATCCCCTCTTCCCCAGTTCCTCCCCTGTTCCTCGGCACTATTCCTACCCAGCCACCAGTTCTTGGCCCAGATCTGAGTTTTGGTGCTAGGCATGAGTTTTGTTTTATAGAACTGGCCTTAACTTATAGCAGAAAAATGACTGGTTACTACTTAACATTGTGGCCACTGTTGACCAGTGAGCATATCTTGCTTGGCCAGTCAGTCTTCACAGCTGGACAAGACCATTTCTCTCCTCCTTCTAGTGCATAGTACCTTCTGGCACTGCGGTGATAGCCAGTGGGGAGGGAACATACAGGGCGGGACCAGACTGATGTTACCATATTCTGGGACACAAGTATGTGTCCTCTTTAGCAGCAGGGTCTTACCATCAAGTTCTGGAGGGTAACTAAGAGCAATGACAATAATCCTGTAATGTCTGAGGGTCTATGGGACTTCACTAATGAGTTATGGTTTGACTTGGAAGATATACACCAGAATTAGAATATATATATATATATATATATATATATATATAATTTATAAATATACAAACATTAAAGTCTTACAAATGCAAACAATTGTTTCAATTTATTTTGTAAGAAAATCAAAATGTCTACACTTTTCAGTTTAATTTTATACTTAACTTATCAAGGTCATTTTTATCTTCTAGAAGAAATGAATTATACACAATTATTACTCATGCAGCACTAAGCCCATTAACCAGTCTAAATTCAACTCACAAGTATTCATGACATACTAGAAATAATGGAAATATTTTGACTGCCCTTTTATAGCTCCTAGTTTTCTTAGTGAAGCTTTTTAAAATATAGGATACATTTTCAAATTCAAAACATTTTTTTTCAAAATAGTCATGCATTTTTATAATTCAATACATGTTATTGGAAGTCAAACAGTTCTCCTTCCATACTGAAGGTAAATCAGGCATGTGCAGTTTTAAATGAATGCCTGCCAGAAAGATTCAGTCTAAATATGTGTGAAAATGGAGTAAGGAAAGCCACTAAGGTGCTAGGTTAAAAAAAAAACCCAAAAAACCTAAAACCAAAAACCACATTTCAAGGGAAAAGTTACATTCCTTATGCCCTCCTAACTTGAAAAGCTCAAACTGTAATTTTATGAATTGAAACTCTGGTAAGAGAATGTAACATTTGTATTTCAGCAGCATAAAGTAAGAAATCAAAGTGCCATGCTACCTGACACTGGGACTTTGTCCAGGTCTCATGCTGGGTAGCCTAACAGCTCCACACGCCGCATGCATGCTTTTGAGAACCTACAACTCTTGCTCTCAGATGGCGCTATCGGCTCCTAGAGTTCATCATGTTGAAATGAATCTCCCCGGCTTCCACTCTTAACACTCAGAACACACTGTGAGTGTGGGAGCCACTGACCAGTCAAGAATGTGAAACACTGCTCCTGAGCCGCTCCTGCCCCATGCTCAGACCTTCTGCTACTCATCCATTGCAAACCTGGGCCATTATCCACATCTTCTATCTGGTCCTCACTTCCTCTGAGAAGTCTTCTCTACCCAACACACCTAGGTTGGTTTAATACACAAGATTTTTTACAACTGCCTCTTCACTGGCTTTTATTTCTTGCCAGGTGAGTTCTGTGTAGAAAGGGGTCATTATCTAGCTTACTCATAGGCATCCCCAGCCTTAGTGTCTGTTATGTAATAAGAGGTAGTTAAAGACATCAGGGAAAGTTACAAGAATATGTGAAAAGCAGCAGCAGCAACAATAAAAGCCTTACTTTACCACCTGTCACGTACAGACAAATCACTGCAGTTTAACCCATCTTACTTAAAGGGTAGGAGGCAGTTCGGGCAGCTTACTCAGAGGTCACTTAAGGGCATCTGTCTGTGAAGTCATTCCTACACTTGAGTCTAGAGGGCTGACCATCTAAGGAAGTAGTGTGTGTGGCACTAATACAAATAGGTTCCCATGATATCAGTCTGCCAAGAAGATCACAGAGTTTACTTCATTATGTATTTTAAATAGCAATTTAGTTTTTGGTTAAATTATAACAAAACTTTAACCTCACTAAATTTTAAAATTCAATTTGAAAATATTTGTGAACATACATTAACTATCCCATGCAATAGCAAACAAAAAAGTAAAATAATAATACCAGGACTACTTCATACAATTTTTAATATAGAAAAAAAATGTATCTCAATTTATAATAGCAATATGCCCTGGTTCTTTCCTCTTAGAGTAATAAAATATTTAACTTACTCTGGATTTTCCAGGAGCCCAAACAAGAGGTTTTTTAATTGTAAAGAGAAACTGAACTTTTAAATGATAGAATTTTTTAAAGACTGTTGAGACTTTTAAGGCTGTACTGTATTTTATGTCTAATATTAGCAGTGGGACCTTAGGGACAAATTGGAAAGGAAAGGTTATGGTTTAGAGTGGTGTGTCAGAGTTAACAAGGGATGGGCTGTCATAGTTCCGGCTGTCACCCTGACACAGCTGACAAAGTGTCCCACCCCAGCCACAGGAAATAAACCAGAACACAGAGCTTTTACTTAAACCTTTCTTCCATGTTCTGAAAACTCTCCGGATCACCCACCTGGCAGGTTGTCCTCACAATTACATTCTTTAATTCTCTCTTTAAAATAAAGTCGCCTATCAACGCCCCCAGAGGGGCAACAACTAATCAAACATGAATATTTATGTATAACTGCCACGCTAATTCTTAAAATTGAGGCTATCCCTGGGCTTTTATTTCACCTGCTTACTGTGGGACTAAAATGCTTCTTCCTAGAAGAGATGAAACTCCGAAAGTCATTTTTTAAAAGCCATAACTGCCAAAACTCTTTAAAAAGTTGTACTTCTCATCCCATCCATCCTAACTTCTTGTAGATCATATGTGTGATTAACTAGTAGTGAATCAACTAAGCAGTTTACTAGTGGGTCTTGTCAAGAAACATGGTCTTGCACACGGTCCGCACTGACGCCACACAGCTTTACTTCACGTGTTCTTCGATTACATTACCTGACTACCTGGTGGACATTTAGTTATCAACTAGACCCTGTTCTGGTTTTGAGGGTTTTCCTATCGGCAAGACTGTAGGATTTTTTTTTTCTTAATCAAGCAAGCCTTATGACTTAAGGCTCCAGGTTATTAACATTCAGTAAAATACTTTAAGAATTTAAGCATATATGGGGCTGGAGAGATGGCTCAGCAGTTAAGAGCACTGACTACTCTTCTAGAGGTCCTGAGTTCAATTCTCAGCAACCACATGGTGGCTTCACAACCACCTGTAATGAGATCTGGTGCCCTCTTCTGGCCTGCAAGGACACATGCAGACAGAATACAGTATACATAATAAATAAATAGACCTTAAAAAAAGAAGAATTTAAGCACATCATCTTAAAATAAGACAATTATTTGTGCAGTAATTCATGTAATAAGTAGTGTTGCTTCCAAAAAAAATTTTTTTTAATGGAGATTCACATTGTGCCCCGTTTAGAAAATTTTCCAGGATTTAAAGTGTTTCCTTTCGATGATTTTACCTTGGTTGCTAGGAGAGTAGAAATACTTGCACATGTTAAGTAATGTCATGTTTGTTTAAGCAATTGTTAATTATAACGATGACTGGACATACACACTGTTCCATTAGAGAAAATTAAAATGAATGGAAGTCCACTTGAGGAGCAGATGACCACTTTTGATAAACAGAACAGAAAAGCAGCCCCTTCAGTAGAAGGGATGGCGCACTAAATGGGTCCATTACACAACTTTTGTTTGGTCTCCAGTGTCTTAGAGAGAGGAAACAAACAAAACAGAACATTACGTTCATATACAATTCTCGAGTTCTTGGTCGCTATTAAATCAAGTCTCTCAGCCACTGGCTAATATACAGGGGGGGCAACTACCTTGAGAACAGAGAATGTGTTCTTAGAACCCAAACAGTCCTTACCAACGCCTGAATGGATTCATGCCTATTTGTGACCTCAGAGGCTCTGAAGCCAGGTCAGCCCGCCTCAATGCGTGTTACAACCGCAGTGGTATTTGTCTGGATTGATTGGTTAGAACAAGGCTTGGGCACACCCACTCTAACTATACTACTACGCATTTGTTCAGCAAGCAGAAGGCCAGCTATGGTTCAAAAGGACACAACCATTTCATTGTTGCCAAGCTCGCCGTAAGTGGAAGTTTAGGTTGTCTGTCCTGTCCTGCTTAGACATGGAAGTAACAGTGGGAAGGCAGGCATGGAGCTGAATAGGTCCTTCCTAAATTCCACAGGCTAGGTTCCTCCTTAGGAAGCTTTACTAGTTGCTCCCTGTGCCTGCAGGAATGCTGAGATAAAGGAGAATCCTATTCTTTTACCTCACACGTTAGCTAACTCAAGTGCCACTTAGACGACAACCAAGTCTGCCATGTTCAAGGTTCTGACACAGCGTTTGAAAACAAGGCAATGGGGTATTTCTGCACTGGGTAGCAGATGGGACTACTGGCGATCACATTAAGCCAGCACACAGATGGGCTCCCTGACTTTCCCATATTTGAGAACCGTCAACTTAAGAAAGACACACAACAGGTGGTCTTACAAGGCACCAGATTTCAGCTCAGGGCTGGTTATGCAAGGCTAAGGGTTTTGTGTGTTAAGAGGATTAAGCAGGTAATCAAATCAGCTTACTTCAATAAACGAATTATAAGGGAAAACTTCAGTAAGCCAAGAGTTCAAAGAAGTTATGTTAAAATATAAACCTCAACATCAGTCAAATAACAGAGAAGCCACGGTAGAAGTGAGTTTATGGATTGACAGTGTGTATAAATTACAAATGATTTCAAAAACAAAGCAAACAAGAACACCCCTCTCCTGGTGGGTTCCACTTTCCCATTCTAACAGTTGGAAAGTTGGGAAAACACACCTACATAACAACTGTTTATTACTAAGAGAGTACAAAAACTCACACTCGATTCTACTCTCTAATTTGTATACCTGCTTTTTTAACCAGGGAGCTGTCTGTGATGATGTGTATGCTCTATCTAAGCTATTAAATACTGCAAACCCCTGCCACATGGATATTTAATATCAGAAATGAGGTTAGTGTGACCCAGGAACTCAACTTGGAATTTGGTTTCATTTTAGTTCATTGAAATTTAACGACGCCTCAGACTACTGACTAGGACGGGGTGGCTGTCTACAGACAACTGATAAAGGGGATTAGGATGAAGGGCGGGCGACATGACTGGAAGCCCCACCATCTTTTCCCTCAGTGTAATGAAGGACACTTAAGTTTGTAACCACACAGAATCAAAAAAGACTAGGTCTGTTTCCCAAGTACATTAAAACACCCCAAACTGAAAGGGGCACAATTAAATAAAATTACACCATACAAGGTTTTTTTTTTCTTTTTTTGGGGGGGTTTTTTTGAGACAGGGTTTCTATGTATAGCTTTGCACCTTTCCTGGAACTCGCTCTGTAGCCCAGGCTGGCCTCGAACTCACAGAGATCCGCCTGCCTCTCTGCCTCTGCCTCCCAAGTGCTAGGTTTAAAGGCATGCGCCACCACCGCCCGGCTACCATACAAGGTTTTAAGCCAACAATTCAGTTTTCTCAAATAAACCTACATGTTCAAGTGTTCCACTCAATAAGTTTAATTCGTTGGTCTAACATTTATTCTATTTTTTTGGATGTGATGTTATCATATAAAACTAAATTAAGCTATGATACAATACAGCATAACTATGATACAACAGACTCACCAGTTTAAATATCCTACAGGGAGGGACACTAACTTTCGGCAAGAGTGACAGTGTCTCGATGGTAAAGTTAAAAAGATGAGTGTCATTTGAAGACAGCCTGAAAAATGCGTTCACGGCAGCAACCACATGAATGGGGACAAGCCAGCCAGATCCAGTAGCAGGTCTGGAACCCAGAGCCGCAGCAACTGTCTCCTGTCTCTCCAATCTCCATCACCCCAGTTAAGGTTTGGATCGAGAAACTGGTTTTCTTACAGGTAAGAGAAATGAAGAGACCCCAGACTACGGACAGAACAACCTGTGTGTGAACCAGTGACCCTCAAGCTCCAGGGAAGTACTTTTTATGTGTTTTAAAACATCCTTTAATTATGCTGTCAAAAGCTCAAATTTTACCTTGTATTTCAGACCAATACGAGCCACACAAATGTGACATTTTAGCAGCAGACAATGTAGTTTCTCCTTACTTGGACCACAGTGCTATAAATATTTTTTTTTTATAACATTTCTCAATGGAGATGAAGGCAGGAACCTACTAATATAATGTTAGAGCAGCAAATACTGACGTCCATTTTATCTAAGGTGAGATGAACACCTTTAAGTAGTGTGGCTATTTGTCATAACTACATTTGCATAATTCTAGGGTCAAAATAACTTTGAGCTAACCAAACAAGTTAGAAGACTACGGGAAACCAATTTTTGCATAATGAAACAAAAATGATTTTTAAATGACGGAGTACCCAGTATCGATTTAATAGTGTGGGAAGACATTAAAACTAATGATAAGCCTACCTTCAGTGACTAAATCTTCTCCTGGGAACTGAAGTTACATCACAGCGGGAATTTAACCAGGCAAGGAAAAGAGCTGTGTCACAGTGGTTCAGCACTGGTAAACTGGACACCAGCCAAAGAGTCCTCCATGGGATGCTGGGACTGTGCAGAGCTGATGTGTGAAGAGCTACCTATTGACAGAAAAGGATGCTCCTCATGTATTAAGTGGATGTGAAGGACAGTAATGGTGTATGCACGACCTGTCCTCTCATAAGCACAATCCCCCTCCCCACGTGCCCTCACCCCAGAAAATCTGGTCAGAGAATCACTAAGGATAGTAAACACGTGGGATCAGGAAGCCCCCTACTCTTTTTGCTTCCTGTATTGGGACTATTTTGTTTGGGAAGAACAAAGTCATTTACATAAGTAGGGAAAATTAAAAATGTCCCAGATAGTCTTGAGAAGAAGCAGAGTTGAGTTTGAAAATGAACACTAGTGTCCCTCAGTTCAAGACAAACGAGGCTTAAGTACTGTGCCATGTTCCAGTCAACCAAATAAACAAAAAAGACTAGGACACTGAAAGTGATAGACACATTCTTCAAACATTAATGTTGAAACTTTTGTGAGAATGCTTTCTCTGCTAACAATGCATCGACCAGAATATGTAACCCGCACATGAATGGAGGCCACGCCATCCCCTCAGGCAGTCAAACCAGAACCTCAGCAGAGGTTTATTTACCTGTCAACATTTGGTGGAGAAGGAAAGGGGCACCAGGGGAGGTGGGTGAGTGAACAGAGTGCACACCGTCTGTGTTCCCCATCAACCAACCTGCACCCCGGCAGGAACACTTGCTGCCGCGGAAGAGGGGGATGGGCACAGAGGTGGAAAGCCCACAGGAAGGCCCAGACCTCAACGTCCACAGAACTGGAAGCTAGCTACTGTGTCGACAGAGCAGAGGCTCCAGAACACCCAGTCACAGCCTGCTGAGGAGAAGGCTCCTTCAACCCAGCTCCTAACACTAGCATCTGCATCACACACTACACAGTCCTGTATTTACTGACATCTCTATAACCATCATTTCTTCTCGGCCCCATAGCGGCCCTCTCACCTAATGACCCTATTCATCATTCTTCCTCATTTAGTACATTCTCCAGGGGCTCAGCGATTACACTCGAGAAGGAGAAATAAACGGCGTCTAGGACACAAGGTCTGAGGTAACCAAAGGCGTAAAACTGAGACAGGAAGAAGGGAATGGTGTCCAGAGTTACTTTGGAGGGGGAATGAGAGGCCAAGGTGATTGCTGAAAAGGGCTCTTAGCATGCTGAGCCTGGCAGTACAGGCTGTAACCTCAGCTATTTAGGAAGTTCCCTTAGAAGGACAGCAAGTTCAAAGTCAACGTGGGGTGCGGCAAGTTCAAGGCCTGCCTGGAACACTAGTGAGACCTCACCTGAAAATAAAAAACAAAGGGGTGGGATATAGCTCCGTGACGGAGCTCTTGCCTGGCACACCTCAGGTCCTGGATTTAGTTCCAATACTTAAAACAACAGGAGGAGGCGTGGGGTATGATCAAAATACACTCTATGAAGTTCTTGGAATAACAATATATATTTTCAAAAGTAGCTCATCATGTTATGTCTGGCATGCTACATCTGGGAGCTAAGAGCTCAACCTGAAGGAAATGGAGGACTCATGGATGAGTTGTAAAGAAACAAATGAACGATCAGACTTGTATTCTAAAGACCCTTCTCAGTGGTATTGAGGGAGAGGCCTCAGAGCGGGTGTGGAGAGGAAGTGGTTTCTGCGACAAAGCCAGTGAGGGACTAATGCTCTGGACAGAGGAGCAGCAAGGGCAGGGGACATGGGTGTGACCAGACTGCTTCTGGCCCATAGCAGACTTGCCTTTGCAATTGAGAGCACCACCCTCTGCAGGGAAGCCCAGCCCAGAAAACAGTGCCCGGCTCCATGTCAGCCCCAATGCACCATTTCCTACGGAGACGAGGCCTGACTTTGTTTTCTTCACAGGCCATGACTATGTGAATGTAATACAGAAATCACCTTGGAAGCCTGGGTGCTTGACTTCTATCAACTCTCTGGGCAAAGGTCTCCATGATTTCCACCACAACACCTGTATCTGCTGCTGGAAAGGATTCTGTCCTAAGCACTGAAGACTTTCAATGAGAGTTCATGTTTTCACATGTCTCATCTCACGTCTGCCTAGTGGGATGACTTGTCTATGGTTTTGAGCTAGAAAGTCATTTGTATGCATTTATGTATGTTATTGATAAGAAGGATATTATTTCTAACAGAGTAATCTGGTTTGCATCGTCCACATGCTTGTTTTCAGCACGGATCTAAAAGCACTCAGGATACCATACCGGCACGGTGAGTGCCCACGCCGCTGCCGCCGCATCCAGAGGTAGTGTTTGCCTGTGTCAGAGGAACCCAGAGAAGCAGTCCAAGACAGCCTGCTTCAACACTGCTTGCTCTGTGTTTGGGGCAAGGCACTGTTTTTATATGTCCAGTTTACTAAGATAACTAGACACAACTGTTAGTACCAGCTGTACTGGACTGTTATTCTGAAGGGAAGATAAAGCTCTTCTGTTATATTAGTAAGACTTGCAGCTTGTGAGTAGATCTCATAGTATTCAGTACACAGATCAAAGTGTCCTCCCGGGTCAGTTTACAAGAAAAATCTTTGTTTGTTTGTTTGTTTGTTTTGTTTTTCAAGACAAGGTTTCTCTGTGTAGCTTTCGAGCCTGTCTTGAAACTCGCTCTGTAGACCAGGCTGGCCTCGAACTCACAGAGATCCGCCTGCCTCCGCCTGCCGAGTGCTGTGATTAAAGGTGTGCGCCACCACCGCCCGGCTGGAAGAACAATCTTAAAGGCAATTAATTCTCTGAAGTTCTTCCAGGTTAATTCTCATATGCAACCCACTGCTCTGCTAGTCCTTCTGTAATGGCCTGGACACTTGCTGGTCAATCAAACAGACTCCAGTCTGGTCTTTATGGAATTGCACAGGGAAAGGAAAAGGGTGTGGGAGACAAACACACAAGCAAATTCCTACAGTAGTAAAGTGGACACAAGACCACTGAGAGGAGGGTGCAATCAAGAGAACAATATGGGGCAGGGGAGGAAATGGGGGCATCTTTAGTCCCCAGTGGTGGGGAACAGAGGCAGTCGGATCTCTGTATTGGAGGCCAGACTGGTCTGCCTAGTGAGTTCCAGTCTGACAAAGCTACATAGCAAAATCCTGTCCCAATACAAGAGGAAAGAATAACTAAAGGGAAGTAGTGGTGGGCGGGCAGGGCGAGCAGGCTGCTCATTTGAAGGAAGTTTCGTGTTTGTGTGAGGCAGGCTCTGAATCTGTATCTTAAGCTGGTCTCCAATGCACCAATCTCCCTGCCTCAGACTCTTGCCTTCTGAAATAAGCCTCTACGCCCGGCTGAGGAATTTAACTTCTTAAGGGATTTTCACAGGCACAGTCAGTTTGGGGAGATGCCCTCCTGCATAATTCAGCAAGGTGTGTAAGTCTTCTCCACCTCCATACTTCATCTCCAACGGCAATACTTGTGGTGGCAGACACAAGGCGGATTTCAGTTATTTTATCCACTCATTCAAATATGACATATGGGGTAGAATAATTTTCCTTTAGACATGCAGTCTCAGGTGTTCGTGGGTTATATAAGTGGAGCTGTCTAAAATTAGCTACAGATACAGACATTTTGAGGGGAGGGGGAGAAATAGACGGCGATCTGCTAGGTACCTTCATGTCCAAGGTCACAAAGACCAGGGTGACACTAGAAGGGCTTGGGCAAAACACCAATATTGTTTCATGGAACAAAACACATACAGAACACTGCAAGACAGCCGGTAGGAGCAGTCAGAGAGAATGGGAAAACCCCAAACCGAGCGACACTGTCAGAGTGAGCGGCACCATCACAGGCAGGGCACCACCATCACCTAGACGGTGCCACCATCATAGCTCTCTATGATGTATCCTGCATCTCCATCATAGGGAAGGTGCTACTACTACAGAGACGATGTCACTACCATAGAGAAGGTTTCACTTCCAGAAAGACCAGATCAGACTGTCTGATCTACAGTTAAACCAGTGTAAAGGTAAGAACGTCCTAGAAGCATCCTCTGCCCAGGGGCTGTAGGTGTAACATCTCTGGCATCAGAGACCTGGACATGAGCCCTTTTGTGCCTTTTACAACCTACGTGACTAGAAGGTAACTTTACTTGAGTGCTTTCATTATGTCACATACCAATGAGGATAAAGTTGTATTCGGCCTTCAAGATGGGAGAAATCTACATGTCTGCTACAGCAACTGCTAGACGACACTTAAAAAATCAGTTCATAAGGTTAAGCGTTTCCAGTTTCCCCACTCATGTCTACGATGTTTTTTGCTACGGATTATCACTCGATGAGAGGAAGTATTAGTCACTTCTTGTTGCATATGTAGATGAGCATGAACTTCTGGACAAACTCAACATGGCAGATGAGGAACCTGCTGGGTCTCACAGTAGCGGGGATTCCCATCTGCTGCTCTGGTTTTGGAGTCCGTATCACTGTGTGGAGTTTTGGGACTTCAAAGGTACAAAGTAGGAACCTGTGCTCCTTGTCACCCAGCCAGTACCAGTCACTGTGGAGCTCCATTCTAGACATCAGGACAAAGAAACAGATCTGTGCTCCAAGGCCAGGCACTTCTGGACAAGGGACAATAATGACAGCTGAGCTTTTCAACATATACCCTGGCATAACATGTCAGGACTAAGAAGGAAAACTAGGAAGCTGTCTTGCAGGGGACAGCCGGCAATCAAGACAGCAGTGGTGGCTTTGGTATCTTGGGAAGGAAACCCAGCTAGAAAGTGGCAAGGTCAAAATGGAAGAGCTGGCCCAGGCGCTCATTTCCAGAGCAGCAGTGGAGTGATGGCGGTTGGTTTCAGCCGCCCACAGATCCCCAGGGAAAGGGGAGCTACTCCATTAGTCTCTTCTGAACAGAGGCTGAGAGAAGCCTGGGAGGAGTCCTAGCTTAAAATACACGACATGACTTAGGTTTCATTTCATTCCTTTTAATCTAATAATAAATACCTGGGGCACTCTCTGGGCAGTTGGATTAATTATAACATTCTATAGACTGAGATAGGTCCAAAAAAAAAAAAAAAATGGAAAATTCTTACAGCTTTCTGACAAGATCACTTTAAGTATGGCTGCATTTTGGTGGTCTTCACAGTGCAACCCATCATCCAGTGAGCATTCATCCAGTTCAGCCCCAAGGCTAGAAGATTGATCTGAGCACTAACTGGTCTCAACCAATGGAAACAGTTTGCCTTCAATATAGTGAAACCTTTAGTACTGGGGTAAAAAAAAGTATTTGTAATGCTGGCCCATTTTATTAGTTGACTACTCAGTACACGCTATACCTTTCTTGTAAAACATCAATTTTATCTGGAGCAGCAACTCTTGAACATAATGAAGGAACATAAGGGCAGGAAATTGGTTGGTGGAACGAAGGGAAAGCTCCATTTCCACACAGGAGGCAATGTTGACACAGTCTTTTCTATCCAGGAATAAGTAAATAATGGCAAGAGTAACCTCAGCCTCCCTTGGCTTGTGACACAGCCTGAAGATAGAAACTATGTGTGACGGAAAGTGAAATAGACCATAAAACAAGCTTGGGTCTTTCTGCTCATGGAGTGCAGATACCAACTCTGGAGTTCCTAAATCAACTTCTTTTGGGGTATGTGTATGTCCATGATAGGGTACACGTGTGTGCAGGGGCAAACTGGGGGTCAAGGCCAGGGGCTTTGCTCAGTCACTCTCTACCTTATTTTTAGAGATGGGGGGGGGGGGTCTTTCACTGAATGTGGAACTCATCGACTAGCTGGACTGGCTGGTCAGTGAAACCCGGGGTTCTCATGGCTCTGCCTCTCCAGCACCAGGACCAAGGAGCATGCTGGCAAGGCTAGCTTTCACTTGAACGATAGGGTTCACGCATTTCTCATGCTTACACAGCAAGCATTTTATTGACTGCGCCATCGCCCTGGCCTCCAACTGCTTTTGGTATGACAAATGTAACTATTCACCCCACTCCATTATATTTCAACTTCCTGTGGTATATAACCAAACCAGATCCTAACAAATAAGCCTTCATGACCAACATTTGTGGGACGCCCAAACTTGAAACTCAACCCAGACTTTTAAGTTACTGAGACTAGTAAGTCAAGGAGAAAAAAGTTTAAGTAATCAAAATAGGCTACTATAACTAGGTCAGGGGTAAGACTTTGAACCTAGCTCCTCCTACATGGAGTTAAGACAAGCCTTTACCAGGTGCCAGTCTAGTTTCGGCTACTTTTCTCTGGAAACATTCTATAATTTCAGCTCATCACTGGTAAAATCTGCTTTCCACATCCCATCTCTTATGTCTGAGGGGCTACAACAAAACCATTTACCAAGCACCCAGTCATTTTCAGTGATAACAAGAGCAGTTAAGGGGAGAGATCGTTACAAGTACAGAAACCGCATTAGGTTTCCCATTTAGGTTAACTAAAAATGGCATTTGTGTCGCTTTATCTTTTCAAGATTTCTTTATTTGATGTGTGTGGATTTTTGCCTGCAAGTATGTCTGTGTACTGTGGGTATGCCTGGTGCCCACCGAAGATGGCATCGGTCCTGCAGAAGTGGAGTTACAGATGATTGTGAGCCACCTTGTGGGTGTTGGGATTCAAAACTGGGCCCTCTATAAAAGCAGCAAGTACTCTTAACCCATCTCTCCTGACCATTTTTAGTTAACCTTAATAGGTGGTGTTGCCATCATGGGATGGGAAACAAGAGAAATGAGCTGATGTTAGACCGAGTTCTCTGCTTCCTGGCCTCAAGCAGTGGTCAGTCTGCCTGAGTGGAAAGATGCTAGCATTTCGGGCATGGAGGAAGAACAGAAGGCCTTAAACAATAAACAACCACTTACGGCTCTCAAGCGGAAGCAAGGATTTAACGCCAACTAGTGATGAACAAAAAAGTTATGGTCAAAAATACAGGATGGACAGTAAAAGTAGGCACTGGACTCACCTATGCTTTACTAAGGCAAAATACGGGTTTTTTTTTTCTTGCTGAAAAGATTCAGGAGCTCAATTTACCTCTGTTCCCATGAAAGAACAAGAAATTCAGGAAGACAGACGATAGACTACAGAGAAGCCGGATACCTGCTTTACTCATCAGTTAGCAAACCCCAGTTCTGGAGGACCTGGTGGCTTTTAACATCACTCAAACTGTCGGTGTACCAGGAACTGGTTTAGTTTTATCTAAAAGTGGTTCCCTATAGGAAAGAAAGCTTCCGTTACCTAACTGGGAAGCCTAGGGTGCAGAGTGGCTCCTGCCTCCCTGGATCCTCTCCCAGGACCGTTACTGCCTTTGATACATTTACCCTGGCTTCACCAGTTTAGGGCATGGTGGTGATCTGGTTATTAAGTAGGTTTAGAGAATTTACCACCATAAACTAGAGGTCCATGCAAAATCATAGAGCACCTGAGGCCAAAGTTGGGCCACAGCCTTCTGTTGGTCTGTTTTTTATCTGACTCCTTATCTTACAATGCACAAACCACCCTACCGGTGAGTTCTGGGCATGAATAGTTCATGACTGGAGCCCCTGGAATACATTTTTAGGTTTTTGAAGACTAGGACCAGGCCTTGGAAACACAAAAGTTACTTGGCACCCTCTTTCCTTTTAACTACTGTGAAACCACAGGAAAAAGAGAACTCGGAGCCATAACTAGAATACAAAGTCCCTGCAACAAGATCAGACTGTCTGTTGTCAATTCCCTTTCTTCCTTTGTCTCTGTTGTGGAAACACATGCATGCACACAGCTTTGAAACAAGAGGCCCATTATCAGACCAGTGTTCACTGGATGTCAACAATCCAAAGTAGAGAAGATGCTGTTTTTATTTATGAATGTGTGAACTAAAAACTAGCCCAACTGCCATGATCCTCAAGACACTTTCATTTCACTAGGGCTCTTTGCAGAAAAAAAGTAAAATGCTTGAGAGGAAATTTCAAGCTTTGTGTTGTTGTTGTTAAGAAACTAAGCAACAGCGACATTACCATACTACAGAGAAACCTATACTGAACTAGTAGAGGTAAATGTCTTACTGAAGTGCTCCTCTTACATTCCCATTGTGGAGAAAAAAACTGTAATAATAATTCGAGACACTAACTAAGATGAAGACTCTACCCTCCACTTTTTCTGATACACAATTAAATCACTTTTTTCACTTGTTTTAAAACATTGTCTGTGTGAGTGTGTGTGTGTGTGTGTGGTGTGCATGCCACAACTCACATATGGAAGCCAGAGGACAGTTTGAGAGAAATGTTTCTTTCCTTCCATCATGTGGGATTCAGGATTTGAACTCAGGTCCTCAGGCTTGGCAGCAAGTGATTTTACTGCATTAAGTCATCTATTAATTTTTTTTTTTAAACCTGGGTACTGACATAAAAATTGATATTTGTGGGAATCTTTCCCCATTTTCCTACAACAATAACAATACTAGACACTAAACACATGTTTATAACAAATAGCACCTCAGCAAAAATGAAAATGCATTTGTGAACGAGGAACTAACACTATGGATAAACTGAGAAGAATTCTGACTCTAACTCACAGAGAAGATGAAACAGTTCTAATCCAGCTGAGAACTGTTTTTGTCTGTTTTGGACTGATAGACAATGATTATTTCAAAAACAGGGTAGTGCCATGCTTACATATCAAGAGCTAAACAATTACTTAAAAGGCATATTCATTAGGGCTAGAAAAGCAATTATGAAAATTGAGTCTCTGCAATAAAATTTTATTATGGGATAGTGACTGACTTATCAGGAAGCACTGGTTAGGGAAAGCTGGCTGAACCAAAACCAATTAGGATTCAGGAGGAGAGATTTCTAGCATCCATCCTACAATTATCTACCTATTGATAGTCGATCAATGGAATTAAGGTCACACACACGAGAACCAGATGGCCAAGCTTCAGAGCCCAGGACTATCAATTACTAGCTATGAGACTTCAAAGTGCATTGCTTAGGTCTCCAAGGTTCCATTCCATCACATGCAAAATGAGTAATAATAGCCGGCCTCCCAGAGCTATTTTGAATGAAGATAATCCAGTAAGACGCTTAGTACAATACTTGGCACAGATGTGTCCCCAGCAAACATTGGCCTGGCGTATAACAACAGCTTGCCACTCCAGCAGCCTGGCACAGCCCACCAGCCAGACCTCAGTTCCTTCCACCAAAAACACAAGAGGCTGCTCTTGATCATTTCTGATGTCTCTGCCCTTCTAAAATGTAAACTTCTGCAAGGTGTCAGAATACACAGGGGAAACCGTGTTTCCAAGGAGTGTATGTACACCCCTTTCACTGTGGCAGGGAGAGCGTGGTCAAATAAACTCCACTCCGGGATCATCCTTCTTAAGTCATCCTTTTAAAACTAGCTGTAATCACCACATTTACTAAAGCCAAAGTAACAGGCAGTCTACTTAATCCACAGAAATTCTATGATGCTCCATGACACACTATTCGGAAGCTACAACATGTCTGAGTAACAAGTCCTAACAGGAACATCAAAGTCTATGATCACATCACGTGTGCGTGCGTGCGTGCGTGTGTAGCAATAAGGGCATTTTGCACCTCTTAACAGAAAATAAATTAAAAAATAAATAAATAAATAAATGATCATGAAAATCTTTAAATACATAGGCCAAGACAAAATAAAATGATGCTTTCAAACTAAAACCTAAAATATCTAGTATCTAGCAAGGTTTTCTCCATTGACCTAGTACAACCTCAAAATTCAAAAAACCAATTTTATTTTTTCGGGAATTTTCAGATTTCCTTTCAGGGTGATTCATATATACCTAAAAAGATTCGGGGTTTCACTATGACCATGTGAGGAGTAAGGTTACATCCCATGTTTCCTGGAAACAAGCTACTGGTATTGAGGGCGCAGTTAACTGTGCATCAACCTTCAGCAAAATGTTCATTTCAGTTTCTCAAGAGTTTCTTTTTTCAGATTCTCACAGTAATACTACCATCAAGAAAATTTAAAAAGTCCTTATGGTTTTTAAAAATGACTAAAAGTAAAGGATGTTATTTAAAATTTTAGAAGCTTTTCACACGATGGGAAAACAGTGACTAAAAGAGTTTGGGCCGAAAGGAATAAAATCACATCTACCCGTGTAAACCGTCATGTTGATTCTTAATACGAGAGAGACACGTGTGCTAAAAAAAAAAAAATCTCATGTTTACCAGACAATACCGGCACTTCCTTTCACCTTAGTGAAAAACGAAGTGAACAACGTTAAGGGTTTTAAAGGCAAACATTGCCCTCAGTTCACAACTGTGTTAACTCCGGCTTCATTTCCAGAAAAACGTTAGCAGGTCATCTTAGCACCGTCTCTGGGGCATTTAAGCCCTTTCAGTTTTACCTTCAAAATTTCAGCCTAAGTTGTACAAAGTTCATGGCGTGCAGTTAAAAACCACAGCGCGTCCTTACCCTCGAGATTCAGCTCAAAGCAGATGTGGCAGAAGGACAGCGTCTCCTGGTCTGTTCCCAGTTTACAAACGCTGCAGATGTTGTCATCGTTCAAGTCAATGTTGACAAACTGCTCCTCTTCGTTCATAGTGCCCCTGTGAAGAAAGGGAAAAAAGTCAAGTGACACAATGGCAAGAACTTGCTGAAAAGGCCTGCGGTAAGGCACCCACAGAAAAACGAAAAAGGCGGCGTTTTGCACCAGCCTCCCCGGGCGAGCATCGCCATGCTCGGAGCTCAGGATCCCGGCTCTACTGTGAAAAGCCCGGGGGCAGAAAAGGGGCTGCTGCCCCTGGGTGACCCCCGCCGCCCGCCCGCCCGAGTCGCTGCCGCACACAAACTAGGTCTGTCAACCAACTTCAGCTCCGTCCGGGCGGCCAGACAACTTCTCGGCGGGCGCCTGGAGGCGTCCCGCTAACTCGGTTACCCCGCTCCCCGGCTCCGCCGCGGGAAGACGCACGTGGGGACGCGGACACCCCGGGAAGGGACGGCTCCCGTCGGGGACCCGGCAGCCACCACGGTCCGGAGGGTCCCGGGGGCGCCACTCGAGCTCGGGTCGTGGGTAGCCGGCGCGGGGTGGGACCCGGGTCCCCGCCGCACACGATCCTCTCGGTCTGTCCGTCCGTCCGCCCGTCCCGGCACCGGCCCTGCGCGCCCAAGCGGCTCGGAGAAGGAGCTTTACCGTCCGGCTCCGCGGGCCGCCGTCCGCGCGCCCCGATCCGCACTATTGTTTCCGCCGCCGCAGCGCAGACGGCCACCGCGCTCTGCTCCGCCCCGCCCCGGCCGCCTGCGCCAACCCCGAGCCGCCCACGGGGAGAGCGGCGGGGCCGGCGCACGGTCCCGGGGCCCCACGTGGCCGCCCCGCCGCGAGGAGTTGCAGCCGCCCCCCTGCCACCCGCGCTCGCACGGCACCCCCGACCCCGCGCGCACCCCCCTCCTCCTCCTCCCCGGCTCCGCAGCGCGCGTCTCGCGCCCCTCCGCGTGGCGCACATGGACCCGTCCGGCCCGCCTCCCTCCAGCCCCTGCAAACTCCAGCAGCCGGCGGCTTGCAGGAGCCGACCCACGGGGTGCGAGGAGGGTTTGGGGTGGGGGAGAAAAAAAAAAAGCACACACGCGTGGGGAGTGGATTGCTTCGAAACCAGGAGCCTGAACCGCGTGCTCTCCCTGAACTCCAGTCCTATGTTGGTTGACTTACAGAATGAGATAAAAGTTGATAAATCAGGTATCTCGGTTTAGGGATAATCCTGGAAACAGAGCTGCTTTTCCTTCAGAGTGTCTTGATGAGGCGCCCCTCCCCACAATATGGTACATCCCATGCGCATCCACGGAGGACATTCCCGAGGCCCCGCCTTTTGTTTTTATTGCCCACCCTTCTTAAACTTTTTTTCTCTCATTAGCATGTAAATTTGCTTTCATCATAAGCCGTTCCTGGGCCAAAAGTCTGCGTAACACTTCCAGTTACGTTTTCCATAGTAGTCTTTCTCAACAGCCCACAGAAGAGAAACCGGAAACTCAGCTCTCATCTTTGCAGCTTCGTGGTGACTAACCCCTTATCGCAGTTCCTTAGAAACAAAAACTGGAGCTTTAACTCAAGGCTGCTGGGGTAAAGCCACTAATCCACATCTCAGAAAAAACTCATCCTTGCCCATGCTGCTGAAGTGTAGTAGATCACTCAGGGACACGGACTTCATGTGACATTGTTACTAATGCAGAATCTCTGGTCCTACCCCAAATCCCCTAAATCAGTACCTTCGGCTGAACAAGACCCCCCAGCTCCGTGGACTTGAGGGGCCTCAGCTGTTGTTACAGTGTTCGTTATGGCAAGCCTGCCAACCTGAGTTCCATTCCTGGTGGAAGGAGAGAACTGTCTCCACAGAGCTGCCCTGTGAGCCCACATTCACTCACCGTGACACAGGTCCAATAATAATAATAATAATAATAATAATAATAATAATAATAATAATACACAGGTCCAATAATAATAATAATAATAACAGTAGTAGTAGTAGTAAAATATTTTTAAAAGTCCCAGATCTCTATGCACATTAAAATTTGAGGTGTGCTAATTGCTAAAATATCTCCCATCTGGATTCTACTCATCTATTCAATAAAAGATTCCTCTACTTCACTTCAGTAACATGGACACCGGTTACCTTTTTGTGGCATTGATGTGTTACATCAAGTGTCACCTTGGCTGAATAGTTTTCAAGAACAGTAGATCTATCTCATCTATTCTCTTGGGTAAATAACTAGGACGGAATTGATGGATGATATGGTAAACGTATGCTTATTTTGTGTCAGGGTATGTGTTGGATATGGGGATCAAATCCAGGTGAGTTACATAAGCACCATGCCAGTAAGCTGCATCATCCTTTGTATTTCATTTTTAAAAAGAAATCACCAAGCAGCTTTCCTAAGGGCTTACGCCACTTTATACACCGAGAGTTATATATATATACCCTCAGTGAATTGATACCTGTTATGGCTTAAGTCTAAGATGTGCTCCCCATAGGTTCATGATCTGAAGGCTCATGTACTCCTTCGCTGTGGGTGGTGCTGTTTTAGGGACTGTGAAAACATCTGTAGGTTGAACCCAGCTAGTAGAAATGGAGTATACCTTTGACAATTCTTAGCCTGGTCTCTCGTGCTGGCTGCACTGATTCCTGGTCCACCGGTGTGTAAACACCCATTGCCACTTAGCTTACACCAGCTGCCAAGAACTGCAGCCACCTCAGGATGTCTTCCCTGCTGTGGGATGAACTGAAATACTTCTGAAGTCGTGAGATCAAGTAAACCTTCACTGCCCTAAGCTGTTTCTGTGAGGTGCTTTTGTTACAGTGATACAGAAATCACAGATACAACCCTTTTTGTTTGAAAATGAAGCGGGGGAGTGTTTCCTGTCGTTGCAAAGAATATCTCGGAAAGGAAATCATCACTGGGCAGGTTTAAAAGGAAATTAGCACTGCAGAAGAAAAGATGTGTGCCCAGAAAGGGACGAAGTGCAGAGAGAAAACATGAGAGAACAAACCAGAGTCTTAGTGATTTCAAGCTTGGCAGCATCCGAACTACCTAATATGTGTGACTGCAGTCCTGGGGCAAAGGAACTATTAAAATTGGGGAAAGGTGTCAACCATATCCAAGAAGCTCAGCAAACCTGGAACTAGACAAAAGAACCCCAACCAATGGATACTCAAATGCACAAGAAAACATAAAAAGTCATCAAGCAGACTGAGAAGAGCCATATTAAGGAGGAGGAGGTGAGAACCGCTACTGGTTTCTCATTGGAAACCGCCCCCGACAAAAAACAAAACAAACGAAAAACCACATGTAATAAAGGCTTTCAGAGGCGGAAACAGTGCCGGACTCCTAAAATTCTATATTTACACAGTGAAATAAAGACGTCTTCAGACAAAGAGAAGCCAAAATAAATTGCTCCCAACACCACCAGAAATGGCAAAGGAAGTTCCTCGGGCTAAGGGAAATGATGTCCGGTCAATCTAAATATTTTCAAAGGAGTGAAGATCAGAAGAATTAGTAATGTTTTGACGTAGAGATTCAAAACCAAGTCAAATATTCTGCAATTATAGCTCAGAAGAGAGGAAGCGTAGTTAAAAAAAAATGATGTAGTTAAAAAAAATGATATAGCCAAAAGCATTTATGCAGATTGAATTATATTGTGAACAAGAATTCCTGGAAAGAAGCTAATTGACTGATTAAAATGTCCATGGCTGTGGAGAGGTTGGAATGTTGTAAGTCTGGAGCCAAGTTATTATATATTTTGGGCTATCTTTAACCCCTAAAGAGCTATTTCTTGCTTGCCTCTGGGAGCTTTCTGATAAATGGATAAAAATTTTTAGATTGTATTAACCTAATAAAACTCTCTTCTGGACCATTAAAGTGCTAACTTAGAATGCTATCAGATAGCCTCTGAAGCCCATAGCTGAGATTTCGCCATCTGGCTGTCACCTGCTTCTCTGATACTTCCACCAATATGTTTTTTAAAATGGCTTGATTTCTAACTTGCTTTATTTGGTTACCGTAAGAATTTCATGAAACAGCTTCCATGGAATTTGGGGCAATTTAAGTTTGTGACTCCAGGCTGTGGTCACTCATATTTGGCCTCAGAATAAACCATCTTTATTTCCTTAAAAACAAACAAAACAAAACAGAAAACAAGAATTAGTAATGTGTAAGGACATGTACAGAAGTTTCATTTGGCTTTCAAGTCTATTTGAAAGGTACTAGTGGAAAAATACTGTATTTGGAGTCCTAGGTACGGTAAAGCATGATAGTAAGTGAATCTAATCATATGAACCCCTAAAAACAGAAATCTTTAATGCTAGAGATGCATCCAAAGATTAGGCCAAAACAACTGGGAGAATCCATCGTCCTCACCAGGAAGCAGCAAGGAAGGGAATATCAGCTCTAATCTCTGAGCAACTACCTTCAACTAACAACCTGAGAAACCTGGGAAACCCCTTCCAGCATCCCACTGACTTCCTAATTTCAGCCTTAGGAATCTCTAAACAGAGCATTCAACTGAACCACACTTTGCTGGATCTCTTACCTACTCTTCTGTTTTTTATCAATGTTCTGTCGCTGTGAAGAGACACCATGGCCTCGACAACTCTTATAGAAGAAAGCATCTTACTGGGGCTGGTTACGGTTTCCGAGGTTCAGTCCATTATCGACAGGACAGGGAGTAGGGTGGCATGCAGGCAGGCCCCAGGAGCAGGAGGTGAAAGTTCTACGTCTCCATCCTCAGGCAGCAGGAAGAGAGAGCCACTGGACCTGGTTTGGGCTTCTGAAAACCTCAAACCCCACCTCCATTGACAGTTCCTCCAACCTGGCCACACCTCCTAATCCTTTCAAATAGTGCCACTCCCTGGTAACCAAGTATTCAAATCTCTGAGCCTATGGAGGCCATTCATATTCAAACCACCACACCTATCCATCTGTGAAATAACAGTGGATATGGTCTTAAGCCACAAATGTGCCTTAGTTTGTTATGGCAGTATTACGAAATTGATATACTGAATATATACAGTTTTAGAGGAGTTTGAACTTTGTTTTGAGAGGTTACTTTAGTGGTATTCAGCTCAATTCTCTCCAAAATTGTTTTTGAACTCAGTTTGTAAATGCCTTTAGTTGTCCCACCCTTGAAAAATGGCTTTCTGGGCTCTCTGTTGTGCGTCACAGATGTTCAAGAAAGATTCTGTATCTTAGTTGAGTAAAACTCAGTCGACTCCTATTGCTGTGAGTTCCAGTGGATGCTCGACTTGTAGTCCTCAGTGGTTGTCCTTTCTCTGTTGGATGTTCCCCCCCCCCCCAGCTTCTTGAGGTCTCACCCTACACATGCTCAGCCTCATCTTCAGTCAAAGACTTACAGAAAAAATTTGAAACCCTTGCTATGCATAGGTCTCCCTTTCTAGCACTGTCTATTACAAATTCCAGCCACATCACCGTCTCCAAATGTGATCTCTTTCTCCTCACTGTGGCTTGGCCCTTCCTCACACAGTCTGAAAATACCTCTAGGCATAGAACCGTGGGCATTGTGGGTTGCATCCCACTTGCCTTCCTTTCTATTAAAAGCTACATGCTGTATAATCCATGCTCCGGCATTTAAAAACAGGTATTTTTGTATACTGTGGCCAGCTTTCTTTTACAAGCTATTCT